CCACCCCAGGTCCTTCCTCAAACTTCAGTCCCGCCCCCTACACCTGTCCCCACCCCCCAAATAGCACAGGTGACGGCCACCGCACCTCTACAACAGGTCACCACCCTCCCCATCGCCCAGACCACCGTTACCAAAGTCCAGTCCCAGATCCAGCTTCCCCCGCAGCTCCTCAGCGTCCCCGGGCTCCAGCAGCAGGTCATCTCCCACATCCAGAGTCAGGTAGCGGCCCAGATTCAGGCTCAGGTCCAGCAGGTCGGGACCACGGCCGGGATGCCCCAGCAGATCAAACTGCAGCTGCCCATTCAGATCCAGCAGCAGGGCGGAGGGCAAGACCAAGCACACCAGATCCAGAATCTGGTGACCATCCAGACGGCCAGCGTACAGGAGCAGCTCCAGCGCATCCAGCAGCTCTGCGAACAGCAGCAGCAGCAGAAGAAGAAACAGCAGGAGGCTAAGAGAGAGCAGGCCCAGCAGCACGTCAGCCAGAGTGATCTGATACAGAAACAGGTGAGGACCCAAATATGTGACTCCAGAATGATTTAGTTGTTGAGTTTAAGAAACATGGGATATTATGTAAACCTTAGGTTACTTTCACACAGCAGCAATATACGATTGCCCGTGATCGGAGTGTTAAGAATGGCTCTGTTCAAAATGATTTTGATCTGAAACTTAAAGGCTTTGCAACCAAATTTTAAGAGTGAGTTCAGCTGATATTTTTTGTTGTCTGTCGCTACGGTTAGAGGCATTACTCGTTAGATGATTCTGCATGTGTGAATGGATACACTGCATTGAGCCGTAGTTAATTGAAACATTTAATTATTAAAATATAAGCCTATGTTAATTTGTTAATTAATTATGTTAATTTTATTCCAATGCTTCTTGGTTGGAATGAAAGATTTAATTCAAATTCTTTAAAAATGTCTCATGTTTTTATATATCTCAAACAACTTTATTGATCCCCAAGGGGCAATTTAGTTTGGGCAATAAAACAAGTAACTAATATTAACAACATTAATAATAATAAAAAAATATAATTCTAATTAAAAAAAAATTATATATATATATATATATACACGTGTGTGTGTATGACGATATAAAAGAAATCTAAAAATATGGAACCTAGAAATAATTAATAATAAAGTAGTTTAATATTAGTAGTAAAATACTTCAATTAATAATTGAAGTATTTTCAAGATAGAATATTTTTTAAATTACAAAATTTTTAAGATTTCATATAATAGATAAATGGATTAATGTTATAATACACTGGATAAATATGAATAAATACAAATGAAGAAAAGATTGTCTATATATAAGGATTTTATTGTTACAATTCATCAGTGCACAATATTCTAATAGAAAAAAGTCTTCATTATATTTCATGAAAATGTCGTAACTTTTTAAAATGACTTCTCTGCTAATGAACTGCAGGGGGGAAAAATGAGTTCCTGTGAGTCCTTAAAAATTTTTTATATTCAGTTTGATCAATTTAAGGTCATAAAAAGTTTTAAATGTAATAAATTGTAACAAATGGAACAAAAGTCTTTATTATATATGTGGTGTTCGGGTCCTTTTTGCTCTGAAAAATGTTAATTTTTCCCGAAAATACTAGTTAATGTTATTGCATTGGACTGAAATTTTGTGACTTTGTTCACAAAGGGTATAACTACTTCTAAAAAAAATGTTGATCATTTTCATACTTTTCTGGGGGAGATTTTTCACCTTTCAGTTTTTATTTAATATTGTGAAAATTATTAATAAATAATGCTTTTTTCACTCAAAAAATGAGGTGCCTACTCTCAGATAAATGAGGCCTACGATTAATCAGAAGCAAATATAAATACAAAACCAGTCCTAAATGAAAGATAAGAAGTTGACAAAAAGATTGAATCCAATATTTGGTGATAATATAGCATAATGAGTGATTTATAAGCAATTTTTTGAGGGAGTGCCTTTTTTGCTCTGTAACCTCGTAAGTGTGATAGGGTTCTGAACACAACACAAGGGTTAATAAGTCTTCAATTTGGGGATGGAAAAACAGGAACTGCAATATGACTAATGTAGTTATTAAACTGCGAAATGTGATGATTTAAAGAAATGTGTGCTTTGCACTTTTCAAACTCTTGAACACATTATTGTATTGTCAAAATCCAAATTCGATCAACCTTTATTTCTTATGTGTTGATATGTTACTGCATAAACCAATTTAAATGCATGCGTGTATTTCATAAAATAAATTTAAGTATTTTAAATGAGTAATTACCCTGTGATGCAAAGCAGTTAAAGTATCTGAGATACCTAATGGATTTGAAAGTTCAAGTCCTGCGCTACATGATTTCCCACTAAATAAATGCATTTACTAGGGAAACGTGACATTACAGTAGTTACGATCCTGACTGATGGTGTTACCTGTTGTTTTAAAACTTTCCATCTGTATGGAGCGTTAACATGTTAAACACTTCTTGTTTTCGCTTAGGTGGCTCAGAAGCAGAATGTGGCCATAGAGCAGTTGAAACAGAAGAAAACCATGACTCCTGCTGAAAGAGAGGAGAACCAGAGGTAAATACTTTATATATGTTGCCGATCTCCCTTTTTCCCACTTTCCAAATGACTTTCTGTGCTAAAACTTCAGTGATTTTAAATGTCAACTAACATGAAGCATTATTTAGGCTCATTATCTTTGTAAAGCTTTAATCAACCCAATCCATTGTCTTTCGTCTGTCCGGGCAGGATGATTGTCTGTAACCAGGTGATGAAGTTCATCCTGGATAAAATCGATAAGGACGAGAGGCAGGCGGCTAAAAAGAGGAAACGAGAGGAGTCGGTGGAGCAAAAGCGCAGCAAGCAGAACGCCAGCAAGCTGTCGGCTCTGCTCTTCAAACACAAAGAGCAGCTCAAGGCTGATATCCTGAAGAAAAGAGCTCTGCTTGATAAAGAACTACAGCTGCAAGTGCAGGTGAGAGGAACAGGAAGTGCGCAAACTTCATCAAATATATTTGATTTTCACTGATCTGAGATTTTTAATTCAAGGTGTTACTACTGTTAAAAAGAGTTTTTTTGTTTTTTTTTTTACAAAAGAAATTAAGTATTAAATAATATAATTAAATAATAAACTAATTTAATAAATAATAAATGCAGTCGATAATATTAAATGTTTATTGAGCAGGAAATCAGCATATTAGAATGATTTCTGAAGGATCATGTGACACTGAAGACTGGAGTAATGATGCTGAAAATTCAGCGTTGCATCACAGCAATAAATTATATTTTAAAATATATTCAAATAGAAAAAAGTTATGTTAAATTGAAATAATATTTCAGAATATTACTGTTATTACTGGATTTTTGAACTGCAGCCTTGGCGCGCATAAGAGACTGTCAAACTTTTGACAGGTAGTGTGTGTTCACAAACAGTAATTAAGGACTGTTTTTCCTCGTTTATGACAATATTAGCTGTGGGAATCTGGCAATAGCAACGAATGCTTTCATTTCTCGCCCACATTTCAGCTTTACTCTCTCACACACACACACACACACACACACACACACACACTATTAACACCACATCAGACTTGCCAAATAGACAGTTGAAGCTACATTGCGTATGTTGAGTCCTTTCATGTTTCCTTTCATTGTAGGAGGAGTTGAAGCGCGATCTCATTAAACTGCGGCGGGAGAAGGAGAAAGCTCAGGCTGCGGCTGCACAAGCTGCAGCAGCTGCCGCGGCCGCCAGCGCACACGTGCACAGCGGTCTCTCCTCGTACACGGCCACGGTCACGTCCCCCTCCACGCACAAACGCAAGCGGGAAGAGGAGAGAGACGCTTCCAAGTCCAAGCGCAAAAAGATGATCTCCACTACCTCAAAGGACAGCAAGAGGGACATCAAGTTATACTGCATCTGCAAGACGCCCTACGATGAGTCGAAGTATGACAATTTTATTGTCCTGCGATTTTAGGGGGTTGTCAGATGGGTTTTTGTTTCTGTTAGGAATTCTTTTTCTCTCTTTTGTGTGTTTATCATTAATATAATTTTTTATTTTTTTTTTTTAAATAGTGTTAGTTTTAGTCAGTGGAAACTTACACATTTTCGTCATATTTTCGTCTTACTTTATTATGATTAAAATGATGAAAAAAATATATTATTTTGCTCAATTTTAATTGCAATGATTGTTGTCATTTGGGAAATGTATTTTTACATTTCATCAGAAGTTACTCTTTCACCAATAAGCACAAATCAATAGAATATTTAATCGAATGCTTGGTTTATTTTACCTCATCTAACGTTAGTGTACAGATTTATAACAGGATATCAATTAGAGGCTAAATAAACACCAAAGACTTTAGATATATACTCGCCTTGTCTACGTTATGAAAACTGGTGTAACAAAAACATACTCTCAAATATTACAATGGAGAAATTCTTAATAGTAATTCCAATAATTCCAAATTGCATTAATGTTTCCCTTTTAAAACAACAAAAAGGACTTATTGCTGCACAGAGGTTGCGTAAATAATGTTACAATCCGCAACCACTATCGCAAACAATATAGTCGAGATCCATGACAGAACACAGACTGGCTGAATGACACTTTCATTTAAGCAGAATACCTCAAACGGAGATCGCTAAACTCCAGCTTACTTGTACAGTACTGTTTGTCTGTGTTTTCAGATCACGGCACCTCCGCAGAGAGAGGTGAATGGTTGCCAGATTGCATAAAACAAAAAGCCGGGCAGCGTAACGTACGTATCCGTTTAACAGAAAAGCTCTGATTGGGGGATTTGAGGTCTTGATATCTGGCAACCGCAAACATGAACGCTCGCATAATAGAGTCTTGTACAGCAGTCTGAAATGTTTTGTCTCCACGTATATATATATATATATATATATATATATGTATGTATGTATGTATGTATGTATGTATGTGTGTGTGTGTGTATATATTATTGGATTTACAATATACAGTATATATTTACACCAGAAGTGTAAAGAGTATTTAGAATATTCTAAACATTCAATAAGATTTTTAATACACCTATTTATCAGGTGTTTTTTAAATTGGTTATTTTATTTTATTGTAATATTCTGAGTGGCATTAAAAAAATATACACATATGCTAAGATTTTAAAAAAGGAAACAATATTACTATTTTTGCTGAAAACTCAAAATATAATGTAAAACTAATTTGTGCATCCAAACTTTCCGGAAAAAAAGAGTTTGGCATCACAAGACTTGTTTGAACACAGTAGAAAGACTGTTAAAAGTCACTTTAAATTCACAATTTTGGTAAAACAGTACACTTCTGTGTAATTTGTTTCTGAACCTCAAACAGTTGAACACTCTAAATAAAAGCATTTGGCTTAATAAATGTAAATGTAAATCATGCTACTGAAGCTGTAAAAATATTAATACGATTTTTCATAAAAGACGTGATGTCTAAGAACATCAGATGAAAGAATCTAATGTTGGTTTGCTGTTGATGCAGGTTCTACATCGGTTGTGACCTCTGCTCTAACTGGTATCATGGAGAGTGTGTGGGCATCACCGAGAAAGAGGCCAAGAAGATGGATCATTTAGTCTCAGTTATCGTTTAATGACCTTATTATCGTCTCGTTTTCGTCGGGAAAAAACCTAGTTGACGAACATTTTTCGTCATCGTTTTCGTTAACGAAATTAACACTATTTTAAAATAACATCATTTTGGATATTTACACCAGAAGCTCAAATTTCTGCCTTGAAAAATATAAACATATAATTAGATTTTAAAAGGAAACAATATAAATGTAAATCATGCTACTGAAGCTGTAAAAATATTAATACGATTTTTCATAAAAGACGTGATGTCTAAGAACATCAGATGAAAGAATCTAATGTTGGTTTGCTGTTGATGCAGGTTCTACATCGGTTGTGACCTCTGCTCTAACTGGTATCATGGAGAGTGTGTGGGCATCACCGAGAAAGAGGCCAAGAAGATGGATGACTACATCTGTTCAGAATGTAAACGAGCTCAGGAGGGAAGCACAGAGGAGCTCTACTGCATCTGCAGAACTCCATACGACGAGTCCCAGTAATCACGCATCTGCAGTCTCATCACATGTATTTCAAAAGCTGCATGTGGAAGCACAGTTTCTGATATGATCGATATGCTTCTTCAGGTTCTACATCGGTTGCGATCGCTGTCAGAACTGGTACCACGGGCGCTGCGTGGGCATCCTACAGAGCGAAGCCACACATATCGACGAGTATGTGTGCCCGCAGTGCCAGTCTACAGAGGATGCCATGACGGTCCTGACGCCGCTCACAGACAAAGACTACGAGGGGCTGAAGCGGATCCTGCGCTCCTTACAGGTCCATATGGCATCTTTTCAAGGCTGTTTGGATTTTTAGAGCTGGTGTTTAGTTTGGAATGGGACACGATGCAAAATTGTTTGACTGGTTGATTTTAACCCTTAATTTGTTTGGTTATAGTCATAACAAAAGCAAGCAATTGTCTGGTTGTAATAAACTTCACCTTTAGCTGCTTTACAGAAAACACTTGTATGGAATTGCACAATATTTAAATCACAGTTCTCCCCAAAATGAAAAATCTGTCATCGTTTACTCACCCTAACGATGTTCCAAGACTGTATGAGCTTCTTTCTTCTGACAGTATTTTGAAGAATGTGTGTAACGTTCAGTTCCCATTGACTTTCATTGTATGATCAAAAAATATAATGGAAGCCAAAAGGAACTGATTCTGTGTGAATCTTATAATCATTTTATATGTATGTTAGTCCCATAAGATGGCGTGGCCATTCCTGGAACCAGTGGATCCAAATGATGCTCCAGATTATTATGGGATCATCAAGGAACCAATGGGTAAGAGTTCTTCTTCTTCTCTTTTGTATGACCAGAATTATTTTGTGACTTGTATAATATTCTCTTTGGTTATATGTACATTTCTGTTTAAGTTTTAAGGTAATTCTTAAACTATTAACATACTATTTTATATTATTTTTTTATAAATGATTTATAAGTAACACTGAAGAATTAGCATTTTGTGTGTTTTAGTAATGATTTTCATTATTTTCTGCTTCCCTTGTGTGTCTGTTATCTGCAGACCTTTCTACAATGGAGGAGAGGATCCAGAAGCGCTTTTACAGCAAACTCACAGAGTTCGTAGCAGACGTGACCAAAATCTTTGACAACTGCCGCTACTACAATCCCAGCGACTCGCCTTTTTACCAGTGTGCTGAGTTCCTGGAGTCTTTCTTTGTACAGAAACTCAAAGCTTTCAAAGCAAGCAGGTAACGTCTGCTCACAGACATATAATTTAGCAGTATAGGATGCTTTTTAGGACATTTAAGGATTAGTTCACCCAAAAATAAAAATTCTGTCATTCACTTACCCTCATGTTGTTACAAACCGAAATCAGTTTAAGACCAAAACGGATACAGATTGTGTTTCTCGTAACTGATATGCTTAACTGATTTTAGTTTTTCCTTTTTTTTTTCTTCTACACGGATTTAAATTATTTAAAAATATTCATTCACATTCATATTTATTTTAAATGTTAAGCTACATATTTGGAGTAATTATCCAAAAAATACATTAAATATGTTTCTGTGGAATATTAAAACATACTGTTAACCAAATAGTTTGAAAATCGTAAATATCGATTTAAAAAATGGTCAAACCGATATATCAGTTTACATAAAAAGCTGTAACAGTGGTTTTACCACAGGTAAGGTTTTTTTATTTTTTTTTTGGCCATAGTATTAGTTTTTGTGTACTAAATTTGATACTGCATTGAAGGGCTGGGTAAAAAATATATCTCGATTATAATTGATTCTCATTTTTACGAAACGATATCGATTCTTAAATCCCAAGAATCGATTAGTCTGGCCTGTTTTCAGTTAATGGATGGAACATTGAAGGGCACCTCCCATACAATAAATCGCAATAAGCATTGTGCTTTGGTACTTTTAATATGAAACAAAGTCTCAGATTTCAAATTATGTTCATGAATGCCGTTTTGGCGCTGTTTAATGTGGACTGGAGTGATCGCTGTAGCGCAGCGCGCCTCGGTTCAATAAAAGCGGCAGCGCGAGGCGCACGTGAACTGATCATCTCCTCCACATTATTACCAGTTTCAGCACAAAATAAACATGACTAAACATCCGAAGGTAAGTTAAAAGAAAGAGTAAAACTTTACAATCCATAGCCTGTCTCATGTAATCGCTCAATCAGTGTTTCAGCCGCGCAAAGACGTCAATATAACGTCTTGTAAACAAGGTCACGTAACATCACATTTACCTCAGAAAAAACATATTCGGTGACCATAAACTCATTAGTCAGCTAGAAAAATTAACTGTAGAGAGGAGCATTTTGCTAAATATATGCACCAGATAATATATTCATTATAACTTTTACTGTTCTTCAACGAATTGAAATAGAAATATTATGTAATTGTAACTTATTTTATTATAAAAACTTCATTAAGTGTAATTTAAGCAAAAAATCAGTCAGTTTTAACCTTCAATATTATAGTAATGTAGTACCAAGTGACTCGTGTATATTTTACAGCATTAGTTAAGAGATTATTTTTCCTTGAGCAAATTTAGTCATGTACTGTACCTGATATATATCCAAAATAATCAATATTGAATCGAATCGCAAGCTTGTGAATGAGAATCGAATCGAATCGTGAAATTTGTGTCAAAACCCAGCTCTACTGCATTGTACTGTTTAGTTTGCCCTTGTCTTGATTTCACAATTTTCATCAGTCTTTTCCATTGCATTGGCTTATCCAGTTTTGTTTTGTATCTGCTTGTCTTCATGAACATTGTTTTTCACACTATGAATGTTTCTGCTTTAAATATATTTTTTAATTCAGAGGCAATTTAGTGGTAATCTAACCTTCCACTTCTCTGGCTGGCATTTCATCCTCTTATTCCTGTCCTTATTTCATTGACTGTGTGCTGATAACATAAATGTTTGTGTTTGTGGTTCATGCATGCCGTTCATTCAATCCATTATCCTTTCTTGCAGATTATCATAAGTCATAGTGGCTGAAGGGGCGGAGTCATTCTGTATTAGAGAATCATGGAACTTGCTGTTTTATTAACAGTGGAAGCTGATGTACATTTAAGTGAAATGAGTAAAACTGTTTGGAGAACCTGTCAATAAAAGCCAGAACTCCAGTGAAGCCTTTGACAATCGGCAGCCATGTTGAAGCACTATGAACACAGAAATCAAGGGAAATGCTGATCCAGTTTTTTTTTTTTTTTTTTTACCCATTACGTTTGCTGATCACATGATGTTATGTATGATGTTTACATGGATGCATGATCATATTTATCACATGGATTGGCTGATTAAAGGCATTTTAAGACTTTTCTGTTCAGTTTTTTTGTAATGTGCTTAATGACATGTTTGTTTCAGCTGGTTCGCTGATCTGTCCAAGTGTTCATTGAGAGGACTAATGAATTTGCTGAAAATTTGTGCAACTTTATAACTTTAAAGTTTCGGTTGGCTTGAATATGAAGCAAAATAAAGAGTTTTAAATCCTTTTATTGGGATTTCAATGTTGAAATAAAGGACCATGCTTTAAAAAAAGGTTGAAATTGTTTTTTGTTTGTTTTTCATTTCTTCTAAATTTAGGTTGAAACCAGCACCAATTTAAATGACTGAAGGCATTCCCGTTGTATTATGCCAACATGGCTGCCATTCCTTTAACGCCTGAGGCTATTTTTCTCTGTGCTGTAGACTTAATTTTCCACCTCTATTTGTGAATGTTCAATAAAACCAAAGGGCTTTTAACCTCATTCTCTCTGTATTCTCTAGGTCTCATAACAACAAACTACAGTCATCAGCCTCATAGAATACAACCACATGCTGTTCTAAATAAACTTTGAACATTTAATTCAAGATGGAACTCTATCCCAGTCAGCCAGCACCGCACATAGCCACAGCGTTTGGTGGAATATCGGACATAAAAGCTGTGGGTTTGGATCAAGAATGGACGGTTTACATTTTTGGTTGTTAAAGCAGTGAGTTTAGACTGGGATGCACTCCTATTGGATTTCTTTGAGGATTAAATACCTACAAAAAATGTATTTGTGAGTTTTTAAAACCCTCCGGAATCATGTTCGCATTTTCCAGGACAGCAGGAGTCTAAGTGCACCAGTTGTTTTTTCCCCCCCTTTATATGATTCAGCATACTACTTCAGAAGTGGAAAGTGGACGCAATCTGCTAATTGGTTTTTAAGCAATGGGGTTGATCAAGTTACTTAAACTAAAAAGTGTTGCTCTAAAAAGGCATTGAGGACTGATGAAAGTACTAGTCAAGAAGGTATCCTGTTTGTATAACTTGTCTTTTTTTTCTTTTTGTATTACAACTGAAGAAATATTGATGTATATGAAACAAATAAATGGAGGGGACAGGATTCTCTCTTCTACATTGATTAAGATGTCTCTGTATTCTCTTCATTTGAAAATTATTAGACCCCTAAACAATCTGGCAGTTCAGATTAAAAAGATGATGTACTTGTAGATACATAAATGATCTAACAATTCTTAATGTTTTGTATAGATTTTTTTGTGTTAAAAGGCACAAAATGAACCACATATTTTCCTCATGTTCATAGTTAAGGATATACTTATTACAGTAAACTTTTTTGTGTTATATTTTGAAGTGCACTTTTCCCATCTTACAGAATTTGTATGGCAATAACCATGTTTTGTTCCTATCTCTGATCTTAATAGAATTACGATACTTCTATAAAGACTTATTTCTCTTATTTGTTTGTATATTTGGGATCATTTGTTTCAAGCCTACAATCCTACGCTTATACACGTGTGATCTTCAAATCGTAGTCTAATGAATTGCTTTAATGAATGAATTAAAAGTTTCACTAACAACTGGCAAGTTGTGTGTTACCATTAACCGGTTTCTGAGTTGCTTTCACTATCAAACAAATAATTGCCTATTAGAAATATGATTATTTAATTTACAGAAATACTGAATCCTTTTTTTTTTCAGCACACAATGGATATATGCGTTCTGTATACTGTAACACGTGGTGTCAAAGCCTCTCTATCTCTTCCATCATGGATTTTAAACTTTGAGAAAGCCAAGCATGGTCGTCGCTGACCAATCAGAATTAAACATAGAGCTGTTTCGCCCCGCCCCCTTGTCATACGTACATTCCTTGTAACCAGAGTGCTTTCTATAGATTTATTTATGATTAAATTGATTTAAACAGAAACAGTATATTTTTAATAATCATAACAGCACAGCACATCCTTTAATAGCCTTTATATTTATACAAACTGCAGTATTATTTAATGTCATGATTGTGGGTAAAAAAAACAACAACTATTTGAAACCACCTCTCCAGAGTTAACTGAAAACATTTTAAATAATCAGGTTTTTGTAAACAACCGTCATAAATATTTATAGAGATCGTTAATTCAGATGAATAAAACGATCAGATCTCAATAATAAAAATGTCAAATATGAATATGTGTTTAATTATATACTAAATATACAAATTTAGTGTTTACACAATAACATGTTCTTTTGAAGCTCATTTCTTTTTAAAGGATAAAATATTGAAATTAATTCCCAGAAATCTTGTTTGGCATTCTCGCCAAATCTCGCGTTAATACGTAAGCTTCGTCCCCACGCCAGCAGTGTGATGTTTCAAAACGGTCCAATAGGAAAATGCTTTTGCTCGAACGGACCAATGAGATTCTTCATAGCGCGAATTTAAAGGTCTGTTTCATACTTCCACCGCCACAGTCCTTTGGTTGGAAAGAAAGGTACGTTCCTCCTCAGTAGATTTATAATATAGTTTATTCTTAAGTATGCTTTTCTAATTTCAGAACTGAGTGATACAACAAGGTTGATATGTTCACGAACACGTTTCTGTTTCAGGTTGCGATATACTGGGATTAATCAAACCTCATTAAAATGTCTGCTGCTAATGAGAACAGTCCACGACTCACTCAGTTCAAAAACAAAGGAAAAGATGCATCCGTAAGCAGTTTTGCAAAACGATACAACAAAAAGTGCTGATATCGAGTGTTTTCTTTCAAATGTGCCGCAGTTCCGCTCGTAAAAGATGTTAAATGCTTTAATAATGTAGGAGCTGAGACGTCGCAGGGTCGAAGTCAATGTTGAACTTCGCAAAGCAAAGAAAGACGAGCAGATTTTGAAAAGGAGAAACGTGAGCAGTCTACCGGACGAGGCCACCTCTCCTCTTCAAGAGAAAAGCCAGAACGGTCAGGTATGTAGATGATCCATATTAATGCACGATTCAGCACGTAATCATTTGTTATTGATGAATGTATACATGCTGTTTAGGTATTACAAGTCATAATATATGATTGTGTTTTATCAGGCTCTGCACTGGACGGTGGAGGAGATTGTAAATGGTGTGAACAGTAATAACTTGGAGACTCAGGTCCAGGCGACCCAAGCTGCCAGGTAATGCTTAAAAGATAGCATTTGCATGCAAAGAAATATGCATTCATTTCAACTGTTTTACATGTTATGATTTGTCCAATTGAAATACAGGAAGTTGCTGTCAAGAGAGAGGCATCCACCTATTGACCGTATCATCAGCGCTGGTCTGATTCCTAAGTTCGTGAGCTTCCTGAGCTTGACCGAATCTCCTCCCATACAGTTTGAGGCAGCCTGGGCTCTGACTAACATTGCATCTGGGACATCTGACCAGACCAGTGCTGTGGTTCAGGGAGGGGCTGTTCCAGCATTCATCAGCCTCATCTCTTCACCGCACGCTCATATTAGCGAGCAGGCAGTCTGGGCCCTTGGAAACATTGCTGGTGGGTGGCCAGTAGCATTTCTGCTCAAAGAGATGTGGTGATTTTTGTTAACTTGGTTGTATGAATTTATTTTTGCTCTTTCGTCTTTGTAGGTGATGGCTCTGCATACAGAGATCAAGTCATTAAGCACGGTGCGGTTGCCCCCCTCTTAGCTCTGCTGGCTGTTCCTGATTTCTCAGTATTTCCTGTAAGTTTATTATTATTGTTTTAATAATAGATATTTATTTTTACATTATTTAAAATATTATATTTTTATTAAAGTGTTTATTAATATTGAAAATGATGAAATATTAGGTTTATTTTTATTAAATTACATTTGTTAAAATATTATACATTTTAGATGTTTATTTTAAAAATAGATATTTTAATGTTGTTAAAATATTAATATTAATAATCTTTTTCAAAAGTGAAAATATATTTAATTAAATTTATTCATATGAGATTTAAAAATAGATCATTCAAATATTTATTTTAATTTGTTTTTATTCAATAATAAATCTATTCAAATATATTTAAATTATTAAAGTTTGATTCATTCTATTTATTTTATTACATTAGATAATAAATCTGTTTACTTTTAAATAAACTGCCTTTTTAATTGATTCTTAACTGGATGGTTTTGATTCTTAATTTTTATGTATATATATGTGTGTACAAAAAATTGAGAACACTGCTTTTACAGATTGTATGTCATGGCTTGACTTGACTGATGTCTCATGACAATTTGACAATTGTAATATTTAATAAATGTAAATGTTTCATTTGTTTGTTTGTTTGTTTTTTTCTCCCATTATATTTTGGGGTTCAGCACTATTGGTTTTAAACCACTATTTAAATTGTAGTGGGCATACTTTACCAGTAGGTGGCCTCAAAGCTTCAGTAATTTTTCCTGACTAGTCTTTCTTCTTCTGCAGTCTGGTTACCTGAGAAACGTCACCTGGACCCTGTCAAACCTGTGCCGCAATAAGAACCCTGCACCTCCTCTGGATGCCGTGAAACAGATGCTGCCAACTCTTATCCGCCTTCTGCATCATGAAGATAAGGAGGTGCTAGCGGACACCTGCTGGGCAATCTCATACCTGACCGATGGGCCCAATGAAAGAATCGAGGTTGTGGTGGAAATTGGTGTGGTTCCTCGACTGGTGCAGCTGCTGGGATCAGGGGAGCTCTCCATTGTGGTAAGTTGGTTTAAAGTAGTGATATGCTCATTATTTATTAAATGAATGAACGATGATTTTTTTTTTTTCTTCCTATAGACCCCTTCACTGCGTTCCATTGGTAACATCGTCACTGGTACAGATGAACAGACCCAGGTGGTGCTCAACGCTGGCGCTC